CGGGCAACGGGAGGTTCGGATGAATTTTTACCGAGTGCGCCGTCTGGAAGTCGAGTGTCGCGAGACAGCGCGCCTGGATCATCAGGATGGTCCTTTGGAATCGGAGCTGGAACACATGTGCCATTCGCAGGTGTGATGCCGCGAGTGATGACTGCTCAAGAGACTGGCGGAACCGTTCCGATTGAAGGCTACGTTCAGACGTACATCCCTCCGGAAGATCGTCGACGAGTACCTTTGGAAGTTGACCAACACGACGTGGAAATGTCGGATCCCGAACCACCACGAAATCCAAGACGACCTCCAAAAGAGGAACGAAGACGCAGCCGTACTCGGAGATCGGATTATCCAGACGATGACTCGGATGGCGAGAGGCACCGACGTCGACGACGCTCTCGAAGTCGCCATGGAGATGTCCGACCACGCCGAGAGAGGACTCCGTCCGTGAGCTCCAAGTATACCAAACGCACTGCCAGATCAGGTCGCTCGTCACGTTCGTCGAAGTCTGGAACGACACAGGTGGCTTTGACAGCCATTCACGAAGTGAAGGATTCGATGGCCCAGATGCAGAAAACCCAAGAGACACTGATGGCCGTGATGAGTGCGCTCGCGCTGCGGGATGCCGTCAAAAAAGAGCAGGAGTTTCTTCTGAACGATGCTCGACAGCAAGTGTCGGGAAGCCAATCTCCGGAAATTCCCCAAGCGGAAACCGGACACTCAGCCCAAGACATATTGGAGTCTCGCTTTGCTGACTACCAGCTTCGAGCTGGAACACACATGGAGGCACAGCGGCGACAACACTTGGACGAGATGGACGCTTTCGAGAAGGAGTTCCAGACGCTGCGGTTGGAACGTGACCACGAGCGCGAGGCCAACAAGAGTCTGCAATCGTTCCTCGTTGGGCGTCTGAAGAAGCAAGCGGAATGTCAAGGAGTGCGTGACCATAAGTTGAAACCGGTCCCTGAAGGGACAACTCAGGTGTTTGTGAACTCTGATTCGACAACTGGGAAGCCAGTCTCAAGTGGCGTAAACATGGGTGTCCCACCTGTTCTGAGAAAACAGATGGTAAGGCAGAAGTCAAAACGCTCTACGCCACTCAGACACAAGTTGCCCTAAGAGACCTAAGAGACCAAGGAGAACGTCGCGCGCGCAGCCACCGCCAAGGCGGCAACGACAACAGCGGTGAAGACTGAGGCGACGGCGGATGTCCGAAAGGCACCTGCGGAAGGCAAGCCCCGCAAGAGGAGTGGAAGGGAGCCGGACCAAGGAAGGAAGGAATTACCGAAGGATGACTTGAAGAAGAAATCGACCCCGCCAAGTCAGCCTGCAGAACGGTCCTCCTGATGACGAGCCCTCGGACGAAGACAACGACTCCGATAAGGAATCCGGAGACAGTGACTCTGACAGCAGCTCGTTTGAAGATCTCGCGTCTGGGATGCAGGCTCGTGCGACCGGACAAGGGACGATTATGTTTAACACAATGGTTAACATCACAGCGCTCGAAAATTTTGACCAGAAGTAGCCATTGGCTGTCCGAACGTGCTGGTTGGAGACGTTCCAAAGCCTCGCGGTCATGGGAAGGTGGTCCGACCATGCAAAGGTTTACTATTGGAAGCTGAAGCTATCTTCGGCCGTTCGTGATTGGCGTGGAAATTTAGATGAATCTGTGCGTCGAAGTTGGAAGCGCTTTGTGAAAGCCTTCCGTGAAGAGTATTGCAAGGCGAAGACTCCAGATTCCGAATACTACTACACGACTTTCCAAAGGAAAAGCAAAACCCCTCGAGAGTTCTACTAAAGATTGAACAAGATTGCTGGAAAAGCGGACATTGACATCAAGTCTACAGACATCGCACGCGATCGACACCTGAAAGTGTTATCAAGAAGTTGAAGGATACTCAACTGAGATCGACATTGCAAGGTCAGCGGGTCCGCAGTCTGAAGGATTTGGAACCTATTCTAAAACAGCATGAAGAAATCTGGTGGAGTGACGAACGAGAAGCGCACCCTCTGAAGGGTAACGATAGGAAGGCTTGTGGCGCATTTGGGAATCGGCAACGACAGAAGAATCACAACCGAGCGTACAATGTGAATGAGGATGAGGCTTTTGCGAGTGATGATGTACAACAAGTCCTGCTTGATCAAGGCGTTGAAGGTGCGCATCAGAAGGTGTCATTTGAAGAATGTGTTTCCGACAGGGACGTCGATGGTTTGTCTGAAGATATCCTTGGCGGAAACATGATGCTTCGGAAACAAGAAGTCACCTCAGAAGTCTACCGGATTTTGGAGAATTCCGGATGGAGGCCTCCGAACTCTGAGTATAGATCGCCACCAAAGGCAGATTTCGGAAGACCGCAACAGATGCGCCATTGCGATAACTGTGGCGAAGGATCACACTCCACGGAACTCTGCTGGGCGGATATGGAATGCAACCGATGTCACAAGAAGGGACATCCTGTTAAGTATTGCAAGGTTGATCCGTGTCCGTTCTGTTACAAATTTCATGACGGCGAATACTACGGACTGAAAACCCTACAGGCACTCAAGAATCTTGCCAAACAAAGAAGTCTGAATGATATTCCTGATCACCTTCTCAATCAACTTTTGGACGGACACGCTGATTCTGGGACGAAGCCGTTAAACCACTAAGCCCGCTGGATGGGGATCCAGTTCCTCGACGTCCAAGACACCCCCAGAATTATGTGTGTTAGCTTATGTTGGACCAGAGTTGAGAAGGCAAGATCAAGATCATCAACAATCCATGAATGTATTTGATGAAGGTCTTCTGACGGAAGGTTCGCTTTTGGATGACTTTCAGAGCAAACTTTCAGATGGTTCGGATATCACCATGCGTCCAGAATTTCGCCTGAAACGAGGTGGACGCTATGGATGGTGGCATGATCATGAGCAAGAAGAGAATCGGAAAATTACATTGGTACATGGAGCGGTGAATATCTTTCGGACGGACATACTCTTGGATTCTGGAGCGTCAGTGGGTATGGTGAGTTTAGGCCTTGCGCGTAGGCTAAAACCCAAGCTCAAGTTTGGAAAACAGATTTCAGTGTCCGGGCTCGGAGGTGTACCGACCAGCATTACTGCAAGTGCCGAAGTGAAAATCACCTTGGGACCAAGTGTGGTGTATGTTGTTGATGTTTGGGTCGCAAATATTGGTTTGGATGTATTGCTTGGAGTGAACTTTATGTTCTCAGCTGGAGTACGGTTGTGCGTCAAGGAAGGGCTAGTTCAACTTCCGGATGAAGAGACAGTTTTGCTTTCAGGAAGAGGATTATCCCACGTTAAGCAGGGTATGGATCACGGAATTCGTCCAAAGTATACTATGTATCTTCAACCTGGAGAATACCGGACGATCCGACTGCCCGTGTTCCGAAAGTTGTTGCGACCGTCGACCGTATGTGCTGGACGTGAGATCGTTGGGTCACTCAGATATTGTACGCTTGGAAAGTTCCTGGTGCTATCAAGGTAGTCAACGTTTCCGACCGCATTGTCACTATTGACTGGCGGACCGAAGTTGCCCAAGTTGTCTAGAATGGTTTCTTTCCGAGAGCGGGACGTTATGTGCGCGTTGGTACTCGAAGATATAGGGAATGGTAAACTCTCATTTATGAGAATACTATATCTGCTAAAGCCCAGGCTCGAGAGTCACAACGTCTAGACGACCTTCAGAAGATGGAGCCACCGGTCGTCCAAACGCCGAACTACCCGTGGCCGACTAAGATGATGGTTCGTCCATCGTCTGGTCGTGAGGAAGCGAGAGTGATCAACCTTCAGATAGTCCCAAGCGAAGTATATGATGATACGTCTGAGGTAAACGAGTGGTTGTGAACGAGGACGCCATGAGTGACTACGACAATGCCTGAAGTGACTGAGATTTCGGAAGTGGAAGATGAAACGACGGACGTCCCAATAGGTGATCTTGAGGAAGCGCCCCAAGACCAGGACTCGGACGAAGATGAGTTTTTCGATTCGATTAGTGTTGACGATGGTTTTCCAGAAGTTAACTTGAAGGACATTCCAAAAGTGGAACCCGAGGATGATGTCTTTTCGGACTTGCCGGCCAGATCAGCAGCTTGAGCTAGAGTACGAGCGGGTCATGCGAATAAGTGCCGAAGAATTGGACCTCGAACCCGCAGTGTATATTCATGAAGGGAGCGAGACATTATCACAACTCCGGGAACAACTTGCGTTGCTTCCGGATATCGAGGAACTATCTCCGAAATGTGACATCGATTCGGCTGACGTTGGTGAATCTGGGATGAGTACTCTACAAGACGAGCGAAAATTGCGAGCGATCTTAAAGTACCATCGAGTCATCTTTCTGGGAGGTGGAAATGCGGTTCCAGCTCCGGCGCGAGGTGTCACCTGTGATTTGGATGTTGGAGAGGCGAACTCTGTTGCTCACCATCCCCGATCTGTGGAACCACACTTATCGATCAAAGTGTATGAACTACTGAAGAAACGTTTAGAAACCCGACTCATTGAGGCACTTAAAATCACCATGGGCATCACCCATTGTGATTGTCCTCAAGAAAAATGGTGTGGATATTCGAATGTGTGTCGACTACCGAATTGTCAATGAATTCATTACGTTGTCAAATTATCCCCTACCGTTGATAGATGATCTGCTGGTTGGGTTTGAGGATGTCATGGGGTTTATGAGTTTGGATATGGCGAGCGGTTTTTGGGCAGTCAAGATGTCCGAAAGAGCAAAACTGATATCGGCGTTTGTCTGTCCATTAGGACATTTTCAATGGACTCGCATGCCATTCGGACTTAAGAGTGCGCCACTGATATACCAATCGGTTATCAACAATTGTCTGTGGGGATTTGTGAGACTGCCTCCGGAAGAAGAAGCAGAAGTCGATTAAGATGTCTTGGATTTTCTAGGTTTGGACCCTACAGACAATCAAGAATTTGAAAGGAGCTGTTCAAACGACGAGGAGAAGGGACTCACGGACTCAATGACGGTTTTCCAAAGGAATATCCCTATGCCATCACACATCGGTCCAGTACTAGGACGCAGCTCTTATATTGATGATATCGCCCATGGCGCGAAAACATGGAATCAACTTTGTGAAGATCTGGACACCTTGCTTTATCGCTTACGTTACTGGAATATATCAGTGAATTTATCAAAGAGCGAGTTTGGAAAGCGATCAATCCCCTATCTGTCACACGAAATCAGTGCAGAAGGCATCCGATCGACCCCAAAAGTCGCGAAGGGTGTTATGGATCTACCGTTCCCCAAATCTCACAAAGGTGTGCTATGGTTTCTTTGAAGGCTGAACTATTACCATAAATTCATTGAAGACTTTCCGGTAGTTGTAGCAGTTCTTTATGACGGTAGTGGCAGCAGTTCTTTATGAACTTTCAGAAGACCAGATACGTCAGGGACGGGACCTCTCACAAGCTCGTGAATCATTCGAACTGCTTAAAAGGAAAATCGTTTCGACGCCAATGCTAAGACATCCGGACATCCAAAAGCCATTTGTGATTATTCCATACGCGAACCGTTGGGCTGCGTGTGCAGTCGTAGGACAAGAGTATGACGGAAAGATACAACCTGTCCGGTACACGGGACACGTTTTGAATGATGTTGAACTCCGGTATCACATTGCCGACAAGGAGGTGATTGCTATCGTGCGGGCGTTACAAGTATTTTGGACTATTCTGGAAGGCCGACGACTGATCATTTACACAAGATATTCTGTTTTGAAATGGGTGTTACAGTCTAAGTCGGCAGACGGGAGGTGTGTTCCTTGGGGAATTACACTCTCACATTGGGATATCGAAATCCGGAAAGTCCAAAAGGATGAAGACGGACTTGCAGCCATCATGGGAGCAGGGATAACACCACGAGAACATTTGGATGAGGCCGTTGAAACGTTGATTCCCCTGAAGGGACATGTTCGAAGACCCCCAGTAGTGAGCGTGGAGATGTTGGGAAGTGATTTTCAAGGAGTCGTACTGAGTCTCGATGGTGCCGCGAAACTCTCCACCAAGAAGGGGAGCTGTGGTTGTGTGCTATGGCGGCTACCCGGTTGGAAGGTTCTGAAAGCGAAAGGTTTCCTTTTGGAGAACGTTACGGTGAACGATGCCGAGTATCATGGACTTCTCAAAGGCCTCGAGATGGCCATCGAAATGAGGTTGCAATATTTGGTCGCAGTTGGGGATTCTCGAATTGTTATTCAACAGGTTCAAGGACTGATCAACTGCAATCAACCACATCTCCAAATGCATCTTGCCAAAGTTGAGTTACTGAAAGAGAAGTTCGGATCGTTACGTCTGGTACATATGATGCGGGAATACAATCAGGCCGCCGATTATTTGACCACAAAGACTTTGATTCTGGATGAGTCATGGTACGTTACGGACACAGCCGCGATCGCGCATTTGGAGCACGTATCAAAGATTGCGGAGAAACTCATGACAGTGGAAGACTCCGAGTTGAAATCTGGAGTTGATCCAACTTCTGGAGAAACACTGTCAAGAGACGTTGAACAGCTTACTGTGGAGTCAACTCCATTGACAAAATTAGTCCGCGTGCTTGCAGCAGTAACGCGTTCCAGAAGCCAAGCCGAATCCACTTCGAGGGACCGACCCATGGACCCTTTGGAATTCCAAGCTGAACGATGGCGACGCATCCGAGTGCATCAGAACGCAGATGAGTACCTGTCAGAGATTAAAGACTTTCTTAAGGAGGACTTCGAGAAGTTTTCGGCCAGAAGACTGAGAAAAGTTGCCAAGGTTGCCGATCTATTCGTACTTGATACTAGGGATGTGTTGTATTGACTAACTCGCTCGATTCGCGATCGCCCGCGTGACGTTCAGGAAGAACCTCGGCTCGTCGTTCCAGAAGCTCTCGAACCC